CCCCCCAAATTACAAAGCTGATCACAGACTCATTGAATGACATAATATAGAGATAAGACCTTGGGAATCATTTGTGTCTTTGGTGAAATACTTTTTTCGGCAACAGAAAAGGAAATATTCCAATGTCATGTATAAAATTCCGTTAGAGAACTTTCATCTTTTGGACTGCAACATAATATGCAACGAGGTTCATTATTTAGAAACATGTCATTAGATCATTTTCCTTAAAACTGTTGATGTCAGTGATGAGCAAAGTGAAATATTTCATAAAGACTTCGATTAAAGAGGAGAAGTACCACGGCCTATGAGAAACCAACATGATGGCAGATTACTGTTGTAGCATTCAAGGAGACGGTCCAGACTCAACGTACCACAGACAATTTCGCCAAAGAAAATTTCTGCCATGGATATGTTGCCTGTATCTGAAGTATAATATGTACCATTTCCTAATGTTGTGTCCACTGCTATTGTTAAATTAAGACTTGATAATATGATTTATACGACTGAAACAAAAAGGTTTTATATCTTACACTTTTTTTCTTGCTCTAAACAAGGTTGGCATCAGTTATTGTTCCAGCTAATTCAATTATATAGCTCAAAAACAGTGGTCACGTGACTTCTAATTAATATAGATCAAGTCTGAAACTCAATGTTGTAGAAAAAAAGTTAAATTTTGTTGCCCAGTGTAATTATATTAACGTTTATAAATAGAGAGAAAGCTCATTAGTTACCTACATACGCTCTACAAAGAGGCTAGAAGCGCAAGTGACAACAGATATTAAGATCAAAACCAAAGTTCTTGTGCAATGATTCTGATTTATTATTCTGTGCATGATTGTATAGGTTTAACTTGCAACATCGTGCGGTTTTTATAATTCTGTACAGGTTTGCAAACGTTATTTAATGTTAATTTGTTTTATCATTTAACGGCCATCGAGGGGCAGTTGCCCTGGGGAGTTTCTTGAAATTCCGAGACATCAATGCCGAAAGAAGTCAGCGTGTTTTTCAGGTCGTCAATATTGGCGGGCGCCGTTTCGTTCCTGGACAGAATCCAGGCGGTCTCTATGGAGAAAAGGAGGGTAAAAGTAAAGTTCGACCCACGTTCCAAAAAGAGTTAAAACGTCTTTCGTGCATGACATTATAGCAACTCAAATGTACTCAAGGAGAGCGAAGACCTCGATATGTGCATACTAGTGGGTGAGGAGGGGGGGGTAAGCTATTTTCATCGAAATGACGTCTAGATCATTGTCAGGCGAAAATGTATCTTTTATTTGTAAGAATTAATTGAAAATGTCTTGGAAGGTAAAGAAACCAAGTGGCGTTGTGTTGAAAGGTGCATTCACAGGACGGGCTCTAATATGCACATTTAATTAGCAAGATACTAATGAATCTCTTGGGACAATTCAATAGACCTAAATGTTTTGATAAATCTTGGTCTGACTGAGGGAAAAGAAGGAGAAAAGAAGCAGAGGTGGAAAAATAACTTCAGCCTTAGTTAGAAAACCTGAACGGATGGGCGGTGTGGAAAGGGCATGGTAATAAAGGTATCTGGACATCTCTAGTGGCATTAGAGCGTTTGGCCTTCACACGCAGAGGATTTGATTTCGATCCCTGTATGGGGAGGGTTTTTTTCAATCGAGTAGCTCCTTCTGTCTACTGAGACATTGTATCACTCACAGCCCTCTTTGGCCCTAACAGGTAATAGTTGTCTAACTTTTGCATAGCTATCACATGGGTTACTGTTGTCGCTTCGTTTTTCCTTTGAAGGAAATAACTTTAAAGGACAAACCTATGTCAACATGCTCCCAAATCTACTCTTCTCATCGCAGAATCGCACTTCATTTTTCAACAAGACGGAGCACCGTAACTTGTGCATTAATGTTGATGGTCTGAGCTCTTTTTTAAAGAAAAAAAGTCCAAGCGATGGATTGGTCGGAAATGGGTCCAATACCTTGCTGTCTGTGCTTGGCGTAGCAGATCCCCAAACCTCACCGAACGTGCTTATTTTCTTCTTTGTTGGGATATGTAAAAGATTGCGTTTATGTTCTACCACTAAAAACTACCTCCGATAACCTTATTAAACATTAGAATAACAACGGCGATCAACTCGGTGCGCGTGGTATGCTGAAACACGTCTGGGCTGAACTATCTTATCACTTCAATGTTGCCCTCGCTGCTGTTGGTGGGCACATTGAACACTTGTAAGACGTGAAATGAAAGTTGATTGCTAGTATTGTACTTGCGACTTAGTTTGAGTTTTCTGTAGTTTTTTAAACTGAAAATATTGCGTAGTAAAATCAGTTCAGTCCTTTTTAATCACCATGTATTACAAAATCTGGACAATTTTAGATTCTGGTTTCTCCCGGGAAATCGCCACTGTGCCATCTCTACTTACGCAGATTGAAGGGTCCGATCTGTTGGCAGGAGAAGACAACTGAATAAGTGTCGTAGTCCGTGTCCACAACCAAGTAGTTGGCATCTCCATCCTCGTCGTCTGCACAGAAATAAGATTTTTTAATAAAATGAATACATTAACATTAAAAAAAACTTTGTTTGTTTGTTTAGCTGCACACAGAGAAGCTCATCGACACAGTTGCGGCCATGCAGTGTGAAGAAACAGACTGGCAGACAGACAGACAGACACACACACACAGACATACCGAGACGGACAGACAGATAGAAAGACAGACAAACAAACAGACAGACAGACATACATAAAAGTAGGACCCATCAGTGGCTTCCCCTAATCACCCACCTACTTCACCTGATCCCAGGGAGGAAAAATTGACAGAAACGACAAGCGCAATGCATAAATGAATTAATTAACAGTTTACGTAAAAATTACACAATGCAAAATGTCGCTCCAATGCAGACTTTCTCGCAGATACAGCTGAAACTGTGGTAAACGGCTACTCAATGCCGAGGAGAAAAGTTATCTTAGACAGGTAGACGTCACGAACGACGGTATAGAATGAAGATAAAACGCAAGAGGAGAAGTGGGAAGTGGTGTTTTGAGCAAATGACTATCTTGGACAGGTGACCTGCACAGCAGGTTAGACTGTACTCTACTGTGCAACCGTGTTACCAACAATTCATCGCTTTGTATGTGAACCTGAGCTCCTTAACCGCTGGGTCGCTTAAGCCTCTGAAAAATCACTGTGTATAATTATATACCGGTTATATCATACCTGACAGATTTTATAAAAATACAAAACGTACTGTTTTGAAAATTGTAGAAGGGATGCCAAGTAGAGGAAGACCAAAACTGCGTTTCAAGGATTGCTGTAAATACGCAAGTGAACCTGCAGAATTGACCCACTGAAAGAGACCTGTTTTTCCTAGCAAACTTTTAGCACTGAAGGACAAGGACTTAATTTTAGATACCATGGCTTTCTTCGAGAAGAGTTGACCTCCCTGCTCCCCCCTTCCCCCGAGACAGGTCCTAATGGTCTTAAATGACTATTGATGAGTGTGAATGACCGTAAACTGCTGCAAATGAGTTTTTGACGTGACCTGGCCGCTCAAAGGGATCTATGAGCTGTATGTGATGACGACATTAGACGTAACATTAACTCAATTATACACAGAGGATGTGTGCAACTTTACTTATCATTCCTAATTTTATTACACTGGACAGCAAAACATTTTGCTGCATTAGGTCGAAGAGTTGTTCTAAGCTATTTTGGAGCCGCTGATTTTAGAAATGGCATTACGTTGTTGCTGTTAGGTTGTTGTTTTTTTTGTGTATCGCATCACGTTTTTGTTTCATCATGTATATGTTGTATTTTTTCATGTCAATATAACACAATTCAGGAGTTTTCAAACAGTGTTGCCTTCAGTTCGATTTATAACTGTATTTTAATGAATCAGTGTAACATTCTGAACCTTTCAATATGTGACGTTTCATTCAAAATAAGTAAGCGATCAATAATAGTTAAATTATGCCTATGTTCCTGTTCTATAAACGTACTAAATTACAATTTGCTTATCGCCCAACAATAGTATAGTTAAACCGCTATTCATTTTAATCTTCATTCTTTACTAGAGATTACCCCACTAAATCTAACAAAAGTGTTGGTTCGCCTATGGAGACCACTTTTTGTCGCAAAGACAGTGTTTGGTGAGTTTTGTAAAAGTAGTGTTCAAGCTTAAGAATGAAAATCAAATTTTTCACACAAATTAGAATTGAATGATTTTTTAAAGGTTTCTGAGAAAGTTTGACTTTTAGACCCCCCTCCCCCCACCCCCCAAAAAACCCTTTAAAAAGTAGAAAATTCCAAGAAAGTGGTCAAAGCGTTGTCAGAAAATCTTGCTTCTTTTGGGCTGCGACAAGAGCATCAAAGTTTATTTTCCATTAGTAATCTACGTGATTTTTCTTTAAACTTCGGTGGTGTCAATGACCAGCAAGGCAAAAGATTTCATAAGGACTTTATAACCATGGAGGAGAGGTATCAAGGCCAATGAGACAGCAACACGATTTTAGATTATTGTTGAAATATCCAAAGAAACTTTCTAGACACACCACGCTCCAGACATTCCAGCAAAAAAAAAAAGGTTTCTATCATGAGTTTTTTGCCTATTGATATTGTGGAATTGACTATTGACATGCTTTGATATCTCGCACTTTTCACTCTTTTTCTTGCCCTGAACAAAGTTGGCATTTGTTATTATCATAGCTAATGTAATTGTATATCGCAAAAACAGCTGTTCTGTAAAAGAGAGAAAAAACTTGACTTGATACAACAAGACGGATGCCAGTTTTAGTTTCAACGACCTAGAATTACTAGAAAATCAAATCTCAAACTCCATACTTCACAAAAAAGTTTTATTTTTGTTGCCCAGTGTTATACCATTTCACACTCCCATCGACACTATTTACATCTTTTATGAGGCACACTCTTTCGATCCTGCCTTTCAGAGACAACCGGAAATGATAAAATGTAATATATCTGGAAAGGACAATGTAAAAATACAAAACAAGAAATACTGAGAAGTACACATTCCCTACCAACAATAAATGAATCTGAAACATAGACCATCAAAAGTAAAATTGACAAGATAGAAAAACAATTACAGCTTTTGAAGTGAAATAGAATAACAAAAATATTGCAATCTGTTGGAGACTAGTAAATAAAGAATAAAGAATAAAGAAGCACTAAGAACAATTAAACTGAAACAGAACAACTTTGGACAAATCAAACACCATGATTAACTTGACAAACATATTCTGGAAGGAAATGTAACAGGCAAGAGGGGAAGACGGGCCAAAGGCGTAGAGACCGTTCTTGGAATGGTCAAGGACAGCCTGTTTATGAGAAAGAAGAGGAGGAGGGAGAGGAGGAGGAGGATGTAATGGTGGTGGAGGTGGTGGTGGTGAAGAAGAAGAAGAAGAAGAAGAAGAAGAAGAAGAAGAA